GCCAAAACAACAAACCGCTATAATTTACCATATTTTATGGCTGCGCTGTGGCAATAAAATCGCCAACAAGCGCTATAACTCATTCGACGAGCGGTTCCCGCAATGCCCCCGACTGCAGCAGCCGCAGCAGCAGAAGCTGCCCCCGGCGCAAGTTACACGGTGAACGGGACGTGGACGTGGACGTGCTTGTGGTCCGGGCATGGGTATGTTTTGCGTATCTCCGCGGTTGTGCCCCGCACTTCAATTTGAGTAGATCTGTGCGTGTGTGGGTGTGTGTGTGCCTCTGTGTGTGTGCGTGTGTGTGTGATTGGTCATGGGCGGATATCCATCCGCGTTGATAGCGCCGCACTATTGGTACGCGGCTCTAATTTGTATCTCAAATGTCTGTAGGCGCAAGCGTTTTCTAATTTATCTATGCTGAAATGTACATTGATAGCGTACAAGTTTATGGCTCGGTTGTCGTTGTTATCCTTGCGGTGGGAATTGTTATTGTTTGCACGGTGCAGTAGCCCTTCGCTGTGGGCAGCAAAAAAAAAAAAAGTGACACACCAATTGGCCAATGGACGCACAGTTTCCAATTTATGTATATGCCTCGTGGCTGTCAATGCGACTCGCGAGCAATTCCCATCGAAAAACAAATTTAATTAATTTTATTTAAATTCATTGTCCTGCCGCAAGGACACGGCGCAGGCCGTTAAATTATTGTCGCTGTTGCTGCTGCTGCTGTGTGGAAATAAAATAAAATTGTTTTGTGGTTTTTGCCCAAAGGACGCGTGTCGCCATTTTTCATTTTCAACAACAAATGCAAAAACTGCAAAAAACCAAAAAAAAAAAAAAAAAAACGAAAATACAAACGCAGATCGAACAAGGCGGCCCGTACTCGTCTTGACATGGTCGGGCTTAAAGCATTGTAGCTGCGGCTGCGGCTGCGGCTGTTGTTGTTGTTGTTGTTATACCCTGAAAATGAGAGAAGAGGGTATACTCGTTTTCTGAGAATGTTTATAAGCCATTTGCGAAACTATATTGCATATGTTTACTTCCCTAAGACGACCTAAGTCTTTGTCGGAATCGATCTAGCTATGTCCTTCTGCTTGTCCTACTTATTTTTTATAATACCGATAGATAGAGATTTTGAGAAATGGTTCTTAAAATAACTCGAAAATTATAAGAGCTAAGTAAATCAGCTTAAAAATCTATTTCACGTTTTTGATACTTGCCCCCATTCGTTCCAAATTTTTTAGAAAAATCTCAATTGTAAAGGTAGAGTTTTGCGCTTTGATATTTGTATGCCTTATTTAAGCTTTGACAATTTTATAAAGATCGGTATATGAACACCCAAGGTAATTAGGCAAGCATATGCCAATATGGGGCGAATGCAAGAACGCATGCAGGCATGCATGCATGCACGCACGCATGTGTGAGTGCTTGTGTGTGTATGCATGCTGGTCGCCAAGTTAAGGGTATCTGCAAGTCGGGCACTCCCGACTAGAGCGCTCATACTTGCCGTTCTGCTTGCTGCCACAGCCGCAAATGGTCTAGACGCACTGGAAGCAGGAGCAGCGTGTCCATGCGGCAGCGGCTACTAGTATGAGAGGAGTTTTATACTTTATTTTGTGGCAAGTGGCGATCCTCGAGTAATGAAGGGAATAATTTAAATATTTAATTAACACATTCCGCCGGTCCCGCCGTTATGAAACGCGCATCTCTCGCCAGCCTCTCGGCCAGCCGGGAGCAGCAGATGTACGCCGCTGGCGCAGACGCCATGCAAATCGTGCCACCAATCGGCAGAGTCGTCGTCTCGCGCGTGTGTGTACAATTAATGCAGGAATAGGCGCAATTAAGTTTGTCACCGGCCCCAGAATGGCGACTGGATGAGTGCTTATCGCATGATTCCGATCGAGCTTTAACTTCTTGGCCCGGTCGCAGTCCTTGTGCGCATGCAAACGCACTTGTTGCCAAAGCTTTCAGCTTGTTTTTGTTGGCGGCAAAACAAAGATTTATCTGCATCCGGTGTCCAGTTACCAGCGCTTCGTTTGCTGCCACAGTTCAACTTGAATGATGCGTCCCTTGGCCATTTTGAGAGTAAATTTGTGTGCAAATGGGATTTTTATTTGGCTCATGTTTCTTGCCTTTTCGTATTTATTTTTGTTGATTCTTTGCGTTTATTCTCCTTGATCGTTTCACGACCCAACGCTGATTATGTAACTTGAATGACTATGATAGGCAATTTATGTACAATGTGTCAGGAAATTGTCTGTAAAATATGCAATTGTTATCGCCTTACTGCAGCTTGGCAATAATATACCAAGAACAAAATCTGAATATTCGCTGCAGGCTGCCAGGGCACGCTCGACTGAAGAAACCCAACTCTGTGAATAGTTTGTTGATCAGTAAAGCGTTGGGGATGCATTTTTTAGTCAACTTTCAACTGAGTAGCATGTCGGCACACTGAAGACGAGTAAGAGGGATCTATTTATTGATGCGGATTAAGAATATTCTTTATCGGTTCCAAGATGACTTTTTCTGACTGTAACATACATTTGCACATAAATATTATATGCATTGCACATATTTTGGGTTCAGTGTATAATAATAATAAATGGGTTTCCCTCATAGCTCAAGTTTGACTGCCTTGACCCTTTAAGACGTACGTCTATGACTTTGAATTAGTCTATATATATTTGTATATAGGTGCAGTTCTAACAAATATATTTTAAACGGTCTAAATTATCATTTATAGTATTTGGGATTCGATTCCCGAATGGGGTATGTATATTCCGATACTTTAAAAATGCATATATAATTTTATTTTAAAAATGGTCAGAAAATTATCTAATATAAAATACTATACTGCGGAGATATATTTTTATATAAAATTTCTACCACTTACGATTTTGCTTAAGAACAATTGAAAATCGTCAGGTTTTTGGCTATAAACAATATTTTTTAACAACAACTTAAATGAATTGGAATTTACTTAAGCTCAGAATTGCTAAAACGCAGGAGATTTTCTTTTTTTTATTGCACAACAACTTTTGAGCAAAGGAGTAAATTTTTGAAATGCTTTAAAGGATAGCTGTGTTAACATTCCTGTATATAAGGATTTGTAAAGTTGTGTGTATTTTGCCAGCAAAGTCAGTCCGTAACAACGCCGAAAAAAAAAAACACGAGCATGCTAAACAAAAAACCAAAAAAACAACAAATAAAAAAGGAGCAGCTGAATGTTTAAACCAGCAAAGCCATTTGTTTCCTAGTCGGACAAGATGTTTGCTCGTTCGGCAAAATAAAGTACAGAATGCCCCCATCTCTTTCTCTCTCCCTCTCTCTTTCTCTCTCTTTTGGCTGGCTAATGTGCAGCGGGTGCATTTGGGCACTCCGAACATTTGGGATAACATGCGAACACGGCATATTTGCAGGGATCCAAAACGCCAAACGCTGTTGTCCAGCCACTCAGCTACTAGTGGGTAATGAATGGATGCGAATGCATGACATGGACGCAATTTTCGACAGCCCAGTGAGGCCGGCAGGCGGACAGGCGGACAGGCGGTCAGAAGGGGGTGGTGGGTTACGGGCAGGCTGGCAGCCAGTTTGAGTTCTGCTGATTAGCTCATGTTCAGAGTCTATAGACGTAGACAGACATAGGCTCATGTGTGCAGACCTCTGGGTCGCTAGATGCTTATACATACACACACACACACAGCCACACACAACACATACAACACACACAAGTACATATGTATGTACATGTGCACATGATTTCGAGTGTGTGCACATTGGAGCTATAATGTGCACAATTTACCCATATCGAAAATTTCCATAACTTTAAAATTAGGCTTATCTGGCAATTCAATGAAATCCCAATCTTTTTATGCTTCTAAGTTTAGTTTGGATCTTAAGAATTTGGAAATACTCACTGACTATAAAATCAATAAAAGTCTTCAATATTCTTACAAATATTATTATCTATTATCTAAATATCAGACAAATATCCGATAAATATTCCTCAATGCGGAGCTGATATTTTGAAATAAATCTGTATTTTAAGATTAAAAATGAATTGATCTATAAAAATAAATCAACTAATAAAACAATATCGAATTTTTCAAGATATATGTTAGTTCCAAAAAGAATGCTTGCCATAATAATAAAAGTGCTGATAAAAAAATAAAATAACAAATAAATAATAGAAAATAATAAATCTATCAATTGATGTCAATAATATAATTTTAACAAATTTGTCATACTTTATCTTACCTCCAAAAATATTGATCACACTCATGAATAAAATAAAAGTAATTTAAGCCAACTGATCCTAAGTTGTATTGATATGCATTGCTGCTTTTGTAATTTCTGGGCTTTTAACAGATAGTAAATATCGTACGAAAATATAAATGGACTGTTCCCTAATTGCATTATTAAATTTCTTCTTAATTTGTTGGGCTTTCAGTAAGCTCTTGCTATAATAAGCTGATCCCCGGCTTCATTAACGTAATGAACACCTGCTCCACTATCAGCTGCATATGTACTAAAAGTACACGAACTATATGTGCCCAGTTTAAGATGTGTGTAGAGCCTTTCAGAGCTTATTCTTTTCATTGGCGTTATTTGGTTGTACTAATTAAAATCCTACAAGTACATATGCCAAAGTTGAAAACTGAAAACTACGAAAATTGGCAGCTTTTCAATGGGCGGAGCAATTTCCCCTCCACGCGCCTGTTCCAATCGGGCCCCAGCCCACTCCCCCCACATACCCCACATGCAAGACTGGGCAAACAGAGAGCTGGAAAGAGCAGTACCAGCCATCATCATTTTATCGCATGCCGCGCTGTCCCGCTCACACTTGGTGAGCGAAACCAGTTCTCGTTTGCCAGCGATTGCCCGGCGCCTCGCAATGCGCATGCGCCGCATGCACAACCCCTGCGCCCGGCCCGACTGGGAGCGCCGACAGCCGCGACGTTAAGCACAACTTGGAACGCAACTAGTATGCGCTCGAACACGGCATTGCGCACATCATGGGCGAGAGTGGGCGCGCAAAACGAACTACTTTCATATTCACCACAGCGCGGAGTGCACACGGCACGGCATGGCAGGGCAGAGTGCCTGGTGCCTGGTGGCCCGGTGGCTTGGAGGGTCAACCTCGTCGGCGGCAACAAAAGTGATCTCCGGGTAAGTAAATCAAGAAAAGTGCGTCGCAAGTCATGCGTTGAGGCATGTGCAAAACAACGATTGACTTTCAAAAAGTTTGCTACTTTTGGGCAACAGAATGTGTGTTCGCCCTTGAAGAAAACAAGTGCCAGCAAAAGTGCGACACAAATTTTTGAACTTCGCGGCACAGTGAAGGCGCACAAGGCATAATACATAATCCAATCCGCATTTACACTTGAATATTTTCCCATTTAATATATGTGAATAATGCCACAGATTTGGTTTTAAAAGATTATATAAATTTAAGGTTTAAGCCTTTGTTTAAAAATCAATTGAAAAAAATTCATGTGCCCATGCTTAATATGCTTGTAGTCGCCTAAACGATACCCTGTATTCAGGTGAAAATTTACTGCCACAAGCAAATAAATATTACCACATAGATAAATTCTCATTTATCCAAACATACTCAAGTTTTATATAAACAATCTGGAGACATCTTGTACTTTGTATATGCATCAAATGATGCATTCTTCATGACCTTGGCTTTTACAATCTCTGAGATGTAGATAGATTTAATCTTCAACTTAATCCCAGAGCACGGTTTTATTGTAGCTGGTATATAGAATTCTATTGATTATATTTTTATAGCCTTGAATGATGGTATTATATTATTCTTACGAAATGTGCAACGCATAAGAGTAGACTTTTTCGACCACATTAAGTGCATATAATTCGTTGTGGTTATAGCCGAGTCTTTTTAGCCTAGTTCTGTCTATTTTATAAGAGCTACACAGGCAATAATCAGTTATTAATATAAAACTTTGCATAGATTCGTCTTTTTTTTACAACATATGAGCAAAGGCTTAACAACATCGTACTTCTTCTTTTATAAAAGGAATCTGCTAAAAGCTGTGAAACCTCATAAATATGTTGTATTCATAACAATTTCATATTTATATATTTAAAAGTATATTCTCGCTTAGATCTAATAAGCCTCTAATTGTTTTATCAAAGAAGAACATGAGGTGTTCCATAAGTACATACATAGATCACGTATACGAAAAAGTACATTTCTTGTTAACAAAAAAAAAAAAACAAAGCTTGTTATCGTGGCATTATTTTTATTAAAAGGCAATTCTTGATTTAGGTAAAGCCATAGAACCAACTTAAATCTATGTAACATATATATGAGCTATTTAGGTAGATGTCACCTCGCAATATTTTGTGTTGCACTAAAAGGCGAACTTGCAGCGAGTGTAAAAGTAATATTTTTTTCAACTTGATGAAAGAGCACACGCAGTGTACTACATACTATATATCGCGTGACTGGGGCCATAAACAGAAAATACGAAAATAGTTCACAAAACGGCTTCGTCGCTTTGGCAGGCATTAACACAGCGTATGGCAAAAGTGGCTATCGCAAGGAGCGCAAAGCCGAGTACAGAAAATTATCATGCACACAAAATTTAATATTATTCATAAATGCAGCTTTTTACATATACCAAGATCCTCTCTTTGCGCCACACCACGAGCATGCGGTCAAACGTTGCAACACCCGTCTCTCCTCCACTTGGCCCCTTGGCCCCTTGGCAGTGGCAGCGGCAGCGGCAGCTATCCATCAGCGCATCATGTTTAGGCGTTTCGTGGCGCCGATAATAAAACAAAGATAAGAAACCAATTTTGCAATTGCCCCCGCTTCCCTATATAAGAATTTTTAATTAGGCCAACTTAGCCGTAGACGTGCGACTACTCAGCGGAAATATGCTTCCATCTTGATACACTCGACTCGGGTGTTGAGCCCGGGGGTAACTGGAGGCAGCCACTGAAAGGCCTCTCAAACCAGTTGACTCCATGTCCTGCCCCTATTTGCATAACTCTGTATGAATATCTATATTCAGCTGGTAATAAAGCTAAAAGCTAAATATGTGTTAAGCACATGCCGATCGCTAAGTCCCTTTTCCGGTCATATTCTCATTAAACTAAAATAGCTGGAGGGTATATCAAGTGGCCAAACTGGCTACAGGGTATCTTATAGTTATTTCATGCTCAACAGTTGAAATTAGAATTTTGTTTACACTTTGACTAAGGTTAAAAAGCAGTAAAATATATTTACTTAGCGCCCGAGTTGTGTAAATAATAAAACATAAAAAAATGTTAAGCCAGGAATCGGCTTGGAACTAAGGTGTCTCATAAAGAAGTCTACAAAGTGTTTGTGGCTATGAGATATTGTCGGTCGGTCGTTGGTTGGCTGAAACAATTCAATTCGCAATTTGCACCATTACAAATTTAATTATTCATTTATGCATAATTTAACCGCTAAATTCTTATAGCGTACATTGTCGACATCTTGTGGGTTTTATGCTAGGAAATCAACGAAACGTAACGTTGGCCCTAGTTCTATAATACACGCTCACTGCGGGGTCTTTAAGCATAATTGTTTTTAATATATAAGACTATTTATAATTTGTTATTGAAAGTAAGCAAAATAAAGCCTCATTAACATATTCAATACTTTAAAGAGCAGCAGCAAGCGACTTGCATTTATTATGTGAATTAAACTTTTGAACTATTTCAAAGCTTGTCTCAACTCAGCCTGTTACATGAGTAAGCTGAACTCTATTATACAGTTTCTAGACCACCTAAGACTAGACGATTGATAATAATGCTGATATATTAATAATATAGTAGGTCGCACATATATTTTGGAATACGCCTCGCCACTCGGCTTATTCATATATACTTAGTATATGTTTTTTACTTTCTGCACTTATTCAATTCAGTGAATGTTGAAAATGATTTTCGTATGCTCTCTCGCAAAAACGCACTCATTGAATATTCATGTGCATATCTGAATATGTTAGTGCCGAGTGCACATTGGCAACATGCAACTCCGTTTCGTGATTAGCTGACATTGTGTTCGGTTACTTTGTAGCCAGCTTTGGACAGGGTAGCGTTATTTGCTGTGAAATTCTTCAATTAATTTTTGCAACCAACTAGACTACACGCACATTTCGTCTACCGACTTATTAAATGTGCAAATAATTATGAAAAGAAATATATATTTATACATATATTGTTTTATTACAATCTTTCTTTAATCTACGGCATTATTAATGGTGGAAATATTTCCTGCTATTTCGCCACTCTTGTTACTCTCTGAAAACATGACTTAATGTAATTTCATTCATTTGTTTGGCAGGCCCCCGTACTATATTATTTAAATATTCCACTTTCATACTTCCACTTTTCTATGCTTAAATACAATATCATTATTTATTTTTGAACAGCTGTTGATTTATAGCAACAGGCAGCAAACATTGGAAGAAGTTTTAACTAATAAAAACATTTCTAATATTTTTTATATTTTTTGACCAAGCATGAAAGAGTTGTACGGACTTCAAAGTATTTTTAAAACCAGGTTTTAATTATCATCAGCAGGCTTTGCAATTGACTCAAACATCTTTCCTTCTTGTCAAAGCTTTAACTTGTTGAAAAAGCCTCAAGCAACTAAAGCAACCGATAGAAAACCGGAGTCCATTCTGTGTGTCTTTAAACCAGCGAGTTTATAGAATACATATGCCGTTCTCTGTGCTGGAAATAACGTATTGCTTAATTGGCAAAGGCATTTGTTAGTGCTTAAGTACAACTGATTACAATTTGTTGCTAATTATTCCATAAGACTAAGTTGACTTGATTTAAGCCCGCGTCTTGTCATTGTCGCCAATTAGAAAAATGAATCCATGAATCCGTGCCGCCTGCCTCAATGTTGTTTATTATTATTGCAATAGCTGCATCTTCTTCTGCTTCTTCTTCTCTTCTACGGCTTGGCGTCGATTTCTACAGCATTGGGGCAGGCTTTCGTGCTTGAGGCCCTGAACCCGCTACGTTTAGGCCATTAAGTTGGTCAGTCATTTGGCACGCCCGTTGCAGAAGTTCAGTCGCAATTAGCATTATTATAAAATACCGCAAGTATGCAAGTACATTGTTTTCTTTTTCTGTTATTATTATTAAATTCCTTTATAATATCTTAATTTCTGCTCTCCATTTGTTTGCGGCTATATACAATTATTTCAAGTTTAATTGCCCCACACAAATTACCATAAATTTATGCATTTACACTTGAAAACACGCTACAGGCTGGGTATTTTTCGTGCCGACACTTATCCTTGCAAGGATATAGCTCGTAATACGTAGGCAGATTTTGGACCAAGGTTCAATCAAGGGTTATGCAGTCAAATTTACTCCACTCTACAGCTGTTCGTCTAGGGAATTTCCACTTAAGCAGAATCTATTTGTTCACTGACCTGTCCCATTTGCATAGATTAACCTCTACGCGAAAAACCTTAACAAATATGGTGTGTCGAGGTCTAATACTTACTGAGATCAAAGCGCATCATGCATTGGGTAGGGAAATGGTTGCAAGTAAGTAAATATTCATGTATACTTTAAAATTTCCTTGGCTAGGTATATCTTGGCATATCTTAACTAGTAAGCAATTGGGGAGTCTAAGAATGTAATCCCAAGGCAGTTACTCTCAGATTGTAATCGTAGTCAATTTTAAATGAGGTGATTTTAAACTACCTGCCAAGATTTGTCTGTTTATCAGAGGGATAATTTGATTTGCACAACATGAAGTTTGCAAACTCTTTCTCTTCGTTCTTTAAGACTTGCAGACAGTCAATATACTCTTTTTATCTTGTACAACAGAGTATAAGGATTTATATATACAGCATTTCGACTTTATATGGTTAATGAATAGTTTGTAATTATTTTGTGTAACCCGCAAAACACGACTTCAGTCTATGCGTGGTAAATGGCAAAGCGCAATTGCAATAGATTTTACAGCAAGCGCTTGGTGGTAACCCTTTGTCTAGGCAGCCATTTTAAGTGCCATAAAAAACTCGGAAAAGTTGTAGGAACAATGTAGACAGCGTGTTTTCATTTTATGCGAATTAAGCTGCCACTTGAACAACTTATTTTGCCTGCACCAAGCGACTGGACCGCCGAGACCGACAGTAATACACCAAGGAAGGCAGCAACAACGCCTATCCTGCGGAATGTATACTGTGTGAGTATGTATAAGTGTGTGTGCGAGTGTATGTGTGTGGCATGTGTGAGTACAGACTAAAGACCAACAAAAAAGCTCACAACGAAACAACCCTGTTGACAGAAAAGTGCCCTGAAAAAAATCGTTAAATTTTAAGTTTGAGCCAAAAATTAACTATTTGAAATTAAGCAATTACAATTTAAAGCAATTCATCTTAAACTATTCACATATGCAAAACCCTTAGTTAAGTTGAAGTATTTAAATTTTCAATTCAATTAACAAATTTCAAATATTCTAGTCTACTTTTAGGCTGACTGCAGGAGTCAACGCACATTTCCTACCGGGCATGCAGAGGACCCCAAATGAACGAATGTCGTCGACTTCCACTTCACTTTGCGGAATGGAATGGGCTGTGGGGTTGGGTGGGCACGACATGCTCAAAAGGGATACAGTTGTTACCGTGTATAGCTGGAAGCGTTTGCCGCACATTGGAGAGGACCGAAAACCGGGAACATGGCAGCTGAGTGTCGTGAACGCGACACACGACAGTCTGGCCGCAGCGCTGCCAGGAGAGAGACGTCTATCGTCCACCATTTTATGTACAATAAAGGAATGTGCACACACACACACACACACACAGGCACACACACACACACGCAACGACACGTACACACAAACAGAGACAGGCAGACAGACGTGCGCATGAAGTGAACTTGTTAATGCTGTCTATAAGCAGCATTTACATACAAGTTGACCCCACATGTACACATAAATATGTTTGTGCTTTGTACATACACACGTATACATACATACATATGCATATATGTGCATGTTTAACTACGATGTCCCCGCTGAAAAAGCAGTTCACGGGCCTTTTGCTCTTAAGAGAATGGCCAGCCACAAGGCTTCGAATGGACACACTTCAGCAAATGTGATTACTGTGTGTATGTACACATGCACATACTTATGCATGTACATAGGTATTTATACCCCATCCCCACACCATTCAAACACACAGACAATGGAAGCACCCTATAAATCTGTTGTTTAACAATATGAAGAAAGCAGCCGCTTAACAATTTCCACTCGATTTCAATGTCATGTAAGTAAAAAAGTAAAAAGTTTAAACGTTATCTTTAAATTCTTAATTAAATATAAGCTTACCATTTCGTTTATCAATTATTTATTACCTTATAAAGTTAACATTGCATCCATCTTTTACTTAAAATATGCAATGAGCTATATTATTTAGCTTACTAACGAACAATCTCTAAGCATGTACGATTTTTCTATATGCAACATATTTTATGTATGTTTGACATAAGCATGTATAGGGTATGTCTATGTCATTATATCTCTTCTATTTTTATTTAAAGTATTATACAGTGAATAATCGCGATATATGTATATATCTCCATTATTAAGTGCTGCATTTTTATATTTAATTTATATTTAAATGGAAATATATAATTCTTCAACTAATATTTTAGCTTAAGACATAAGTTTAATTTAAGCGTGAAATCCCTTTGTGCACATGTTGCTCAGAAGCGAATTTCTGCTAAAATGATTATAGAGCATTTCGATTTAATAGGGTTTTGCGGATAGTTTCGCCAGGATGGAAAGGATGGAACTTAATTTTTGAGCGAACATGCCTATGGTAGCTTTATTGCTATAGTGGTCCGATTTGGCTGGTTCCGACATATACACTGCCTATACTACATACATATAGAATACAGACATATATACTTTAGGGGATTTGAGACATGTTCAAGGCCTAACATAATCCTTACATATACATATAAAAAGTAGTTTGACAAGCGAACCTAGCTAGCTTGCCTGAGCTGTTTATGGCAATGAAAACAACACATTCTATTAATTATTAATTATTTTCTTATATAAAAGGAAAGGGCATAAAAATAAGTAGCATAAATAAATGTGATGTCATAGCATCAAAGGGTTAAAGTAAATATTCTCTTATGTACAAATACCTATTTACACGTGTATATAAACATATAGTTATGTACACATATGTAAATGGATTGGATATATATGCGATTTGGGGCGTCTGCACATGTGTGTATTTCCGATTGTAAAGCGTATGGGTAGGTGGCTCATTTACCATCGAAAGTCTTTGATTGTCGCCGCCGTCAGTCGGTCGAGGTGACGCTTCGCCGATATCCTCCCGCTCCTCCTGCTCCTCCTAGTCCTCCAACTCCTACTGCAGCGTACCGACCCTAGGCGCACAATGTGCGCACATTCGTCAGAATTTGCATTTCAATTCGAATGTCAGGATGACGGAGCGTCGAATTTGGGTGGCGGTGGCATCCAAATGAAAATAAATCACGTTGCGTACTGGCGTCCCGGCGTCCTGCCGTCCTGCCGTAATGGCGGCTGGTGCCTGGTGGCTGGTGGCTGCTGACTGTTGGCTGGTGGCCGGGAACGCACCGCCTCAGCTAGCAACCTAGCATAGCCACCATTAAGCCAAAAAGGCGCCTGTGGCACAGGGCGTGGACGTGGGCGTAGTCCCATTTTGAACTCATTTATTCGCATTTTTTTTTGTTGTTGCTGCGAAAACGAATGTGAAAAGTTTTCTGCCATCATTTTGAGTGATGTCAATTAGATTGATTTGATCAGCGAAAATATGTGATTTATCAGACAGCAACAGCGAGTGGGCGGCCCCGAGGCATTGCCAAAGCCAACCACCACACACCATGCACTGTGGGGCTGCTCAATTCAAATATTCGCATGAATATCTAATGTGCCACACACTCGCACGCATTTGCTTCATCACACCTTTTGCGTTCATTCACGTCATCAATCAGTCATCCAATTGGGAACTTTACGCCCATGGGCCTATATGCTTCCGGCATGCGAATATGCATACGTTCCTAGGTATGTGCATATAAGACAAGTGTATATAATGTATATGTACATATGTATAACTCGTATATGATAAGGATAAGCACATGATAAATCCAAATCCCAAATGAAAGTCTTTAGCAAGTTTTACTGGACTGATTAGAATGCTGTTTTGCAGGTGCATAAAACGCTTGTCTCAAGCTGAACCGAATGTTCAGATAAGCTCAATTTATGCGTTATCAATTTTGTATGATAAAAGTAAACTGCTAATCGCAGTGATTATATCAAATCCAGCAGTTAACACACACTTAATGGCCACTTGTGGTGGCCAGCAACAACAACAACAACAACAACAAAAAAAGAAGCCGTAATTTTGCCATACTTGTGTGATATTACGAGCATTTGATTAACCACTCCCCGTTGTCCGTGAGGTGGGAATATAAATATTATCTTCATATAGCCTAAACGCTTCTGGCTGCCAGCTACGCCTACAAAATTAATATATCGCTCGGGGGAAACACTTGCGGGTGTCATACAAAACAAATAAAATAAATCAAATCGGAGAAACGAATGAAAGGAAATCGCAATTCGAATGGAACGCATGTGTGTTATATCAGGAGGCGGTTGGGATGGGTTGGGGCGCTGCGAGAACAAAGGGGAGCACTGCTTGGAACCCCAAAATTTATGCGCTTTCTGTGCACAGCCGCGCCCACGCGCCACTGTGACTCTCTCTCTCTCTCTCTCCCTGCCTACCTCCCTCCCAACCTCTCGCTCGCATTCTGGCCTGCGTGTTTATAGGCAAGCCTGGCTGCTGTCTGAGCTGCCAGGGGCGCAGTGGCAGCGCCTGTGCGGAAGGGGGTGATTTTAGGGGTTGTTAGCAGCGCCAATAACTCATTTTCAAATGGAAATAACATCAAATAAAATTCGCGCTACTGTATTGCCCGCGACCCAAAACATTTCCCGGCCTTGACTGCCATGTGTGTCAGTATATTTGTGAGCGGCGCTGTTGACGCTGGTCGTGGTCGTGGTCGTGGTCGCAATCGTAGTCCGGGTCGTGGTCGTGGTCGTTTGACTGATGAAATATCGTGACAGGCAGTATAAAAGCTATTAAAGGCAAGCGTAGATGGCGCTACTTGAATTTGTCAAAATGTCTTTTTACGCGCTTGCGACGCAGGCGGCGCACAACACAACAAAAAAATGAAATACAAAAGCGCCCAAGCCCAGCTCACACACATCTAGCTCACACTCACACACACACACACACACACTCACTCGCACACACTAAACGGGTGAAACTTTGATTGATGCCAATGTGTCACGCAGGCGCGCATGTGGCTAATGGGCGGTTACGTTGCTGGCCCCCCCCCGCCCCCCTCCCAGCGCGCCTATGACTATGTGAGATTCGAGCCCATGCATTGTCACATTGAATTGTGGGGTTCGAACCCCCGCGCATTGTCACATTGAAATGCCACAAGCTTTTCAGCCTTTGACAAGCGTTTGACAAATGTTTCGGCTTTGCCTTTTGTTTGTGCCCTTAGCACTGTGTGAGTTAATAGAGGTAATCGAAACTCAATTATTAGTTTGTCTAGGCTTAGAGAGTGCTCCACTCTCGGATGTGTAAACAGCTTGGCGTTATTTATTTATGAGCGCACACAACTGGTTGCCGGCATGCCCAAATGTGCCGCTCGGATCACACATCAAATGGTGTCCCGCTGCTGCAACAGACGCGTCCACAAATAAACGCGCGCGCCACAAACCGTCTCAAATACATCAAAGTAACAAGCTCCAGCTGTGCACCACAGCAACCACTGGCCACATATACCATATACCCGCCCAGACTCATTCAGTGCAAGCGCTGTGCTCTGCATCCAAGCAGGACACCGGCGCCCACAGTCGCAAAATATGACATTGACTTAATAAAGAAATGAAATATCGCAAACGAATGGAATGGAAACCCACTCGCAGACGCGCCAAGGAGCTGCCTCCAAGGCAGCCTGGCGCTAGTTGCCATGCTGCGATTTCGCAAATTGTGCCACTCTCGACTCCAAAGCCCGACTCGGTTAATTCCCCCCCTCCGCGAGGAATTCACTGGCCGGCCCATTGATCTTGTCGTTGCGGTTCATTAGTTACGGCTTCTATTGGTCAGCGTTTGCTCAAGTGGAAACTCGGATGCAATTAACAATGCAATACCTTAAGTTTCATCCAATTATGTTAAATGGGAATAAATTAAAATGCAACATTTCTATCTAGATATTTATTTGTCTTAATACAAATCTAGATAGCTGAGTTTTTGACAGTAATTGGTTTATATTTATAGAGTCTTTAGATACATTTTACGCACCAAGTAAATATTTTATTACCATTCGATCTGTCGCATTCTAAAACATATACAATTCCACGAGACCTGACTCTCTGTTCATAGTTTGGTCTCTTTATCAATTTGGCATTTAAATCTGGCAGCAAATGGTATCCTCCAATATTCCATATAGACATAGTTGGGCGTGTACGTAAATTAATGTGTTTTCTTTTACCACTAAGATTGGTTTACATAACTTGACAAGCTGACTTAACTTTCTCACTCTCATGCGATATATCCTTCAACTATCTTTCTCCGTCTCTCATTTTCGCTGTCTTTCTGTGCCTCTTAGTCTAACTTATTCTTTACTTATTTTTTCAGTATTGTGCATATATTAAAGTCATCCCCATTTCTATTAATTGAAGACCAGCAATATAGCAGTGTGTGAACTTTTGGGTAAGTACTTTAAATATGTTAAAAATAAGAATTAATTTATGTTAACCTATTTTCTAGGCCTTTCTCTTAAGAAAACCAACTTAATTTCTTATTCAAAATCGAATTGTTTACAATTACAATTTGCAAGAAATGCTGGTAATATGCTATAGCCATTTACTTGGGTACATTTAACCAGCTTATCTTAACGAGAGACTATCCCTTTCATAATGAATTACTATGATTAACTAGGCAGCCTTCAACGTGTTTCGCTCGATTAAGTTAATTTATAATAATGCTCAATTTTCCAGTAGACAATGGGCTGCAGGTTAATACCAAATGATTTAAGCGGGTTGCAGGTCAGCTACTCGGTTTAAAGTTGAAATCTGGCTGCCAGCCGAAGCCTTGACTCCTTCAATCCTTTGCTCTGTGTGCTATTGTTCGTTTTGCCTCTATTGTCTGATGTAAATTAAGCGAATTTTGTATGAGTACCTTTTGCATAGTTGGCTGTGCAAATCAATTGAACCTCAAGACTCAACTCCGTTGCGTGTGCGTGTGTGTGTGTGTGTGTGTGTGTGTGTGGTTGGATTGGATGGGGTTGAGTAGAGGATTTAAATCTCTCACATAGGCAGTCTCTTACGGTATTAACTTTTCACTCTAAGCCCGGCAGGCGGCGTGTGCAATAAATTACGTTAAAGACGCCAAACTCAGGCAAATTTGCATGCACTGCAGCCATCCTCCCCCGAAACCTCTCATTCGATAGCGCCGGCACACGCATCATCATAATTAATAAGAGACAATTTGACAATAGCCCTTTAGCGTTAACAGCGATATCATTTTCAACTGTACAAACTCCAGCAGCCAAATGAACAGCAGCCAGACCGAACCGGGCCGGGCAAGGCAGGGCAGGACAGGGCAGGGCACACGCATACGCACACCCTCTTTGCCATTTTGCGCCAAATTAAATTCAACCTCAATTGAGGGGTTAATTTCTATCACCACGCAAACAAAAACAAAACCGCCCAAGCAGCAGCAACAGCAGCCACCACGAAGGGTGGCTGCGGATGCGAGAATGGGTCTTGGTCTCCGGCTGTGCCTGTGGATGTGGATATCAGTGCTGCCGTGTAATTGATAGCTAAAAATAGCTAAATTTCATTTGAGCAGGTGCTTTATACTGTTTAGAAGCCTCATAGCCTCATCAAGCTCGGAAAAAAGCTAAGGACTAGCCAACTATCTTAAACAAAAGGCGAATTCAAAGAGCTCTCTATCAATGACCGCTGAAGATAGCTACATTTAGCTTTAAAATAGCTGAAAAGTAACTAAGTTGGTTTAAAAATATTCAGAACTGCAGACACATGCAAATTTCAAGAGCTGCTTGTTGACTGCATTTTTAAAAAAACAGCTTGAAAAATAGCTAAATTAGCAGCACTTCCACGGAGTATCGCACCATTATCTGCATCGAGTTCCACATAGAAAATCATTACGCCATTCGCACCATGAGACGTATTCAATTTGAGTGTCGTTGAGCTCTTTATTACGTTAGTGTGAAAGTCGCGTGCGCCAAAAAAAAAAGAAAGAAAAAACCGCCAGCAGCAACAATGCGACCGACTGCGGGCCGCCCCTCAGGCAGTGCCTGGCTTGGGCTTGGGCCAGCTCTTGCTAACAACGCATTCATTCACGGTGCGTAAGTCACAGCAGCAGGAGCAGCAGGAGCAGGAGCCGGAGCAGCAACAACAATAACAGAAGGGCGTTTGTTGAAGGAAGTGGAAGTAAATTGAAAGGCAGGCTGCCGGGGCGGGCGACCAAAGCGTTCGGCAACCCTTCAACTGACAGAGAGGCTGCGCCAGCGACTGTGGCTACGGGTTCAGCGGTAACTCTGAAATCCATTAGCAGGCAGCGTGCGGCGAACGGCGAACGGCGAACGGCAATGGCCAGCGGCATGAGGCTTTTATGCGCAACGCGTCCTGCTTTCGTTTTTGGTGTTAACCATGAGGCATGCCCCTGCTGTCTGCCCGGCAGTGCAGAGTGCTCAATCTCAACGAGACTCATAAACATATGCGCCTCACGTCGTTTGGCGTAAATCTAATGCGCCAGCTAGTGCTAGACGGCAAACCCTCCTCAGGCTCTGGCATAGCAGACGGCCAGCGCTTCTTTGATGAGGTTACTGACTTTACCGAATTAACTCCCACTAGCCGGAATGTGGCCCGCCTTGCCGGGGCGTTGCCGAACCGGAAACCACTGCATTTTGTTGGTCCAACACAAGGGGTGGCACGCTTTAACGCCTCAAAAAATCTCTTGGGACATTTTAGAAACACAATGCGGCATTTAAATGAACACATGAAACCTGGCAGAGGTTCATTTACTTACCCCCCCCAACCTTCAGCTGCCATAGGCCGGGATTTTTAGGACTCTTAGAGATATATGACCGAAAGCTAATTATTTATTTTTCGGGCTGTCAAGTAGTTTTAAAGCTTTTTTACCTAATATATGACATATTTTTAATTGATTTTTTCCACCTAATTGCAACCTTAAGAAGGTCAGGAAGTTTTAATTTATTGAGACAAAAAAGAATGTATATGTTGTATCAAGGCAAAAGCCAACAGCTTTAGCTTTGCAAACTAATCAAAATTTACGAATGCTCAGCTTCAGCATGTTTGACTAATAGATATCCTACAAAGCGGTCTAAATGTGCACATTATTGTTTACAAATTGATTAATCCATGAATTCACAGACCATTTTTACAAACTGACCTTGCGATACCTTACCCCATTCTTATTGGTTTATCAAGTTTGAACCGGCTTGCAGCCTTAAGGCTCTCTCAACTAAAGAGCACGCTCACCTGTTCCACGCATTTATTCGGCAGTGCACAGCGTATTGTAGCAATGTCGGATTAGATATGTTTACCTTAGTTGACTGAGAAGGGAAAAGATGAATCAGACCTGATTGAAGCAGAGGTAACGTTTATCTGACATCTTCAATCCGAAATCCCAGTAGTGCAGTTCGAGCACAATCGAAAAGATGTTGACACATCGAATCTAGTCGCCATAAATTTGATTTATTTATGTATGGGAACATGCCCAACATGCCGCCGTGTTTGCCTTGTGCGACGCGAAAATCGGCTATGAATATCAATGGGGGGATTGTGGCTTGGCGCGACGGCACGCGCCCAAGTCCAAAGCGAACTGAGTGCTCCGTGAGCCCTCAGCTGGCAGAGGCGGAGGCAGGGGCAGAGGCAGTGGCAGCAGGCAAAGTCCAAGTCGGCTAGCCTTGGGCATAAATACATACACACAAATACCTATATATATATATATATATATTAAGTATAAATGCCTTTTTATATTGATATTGTTTTTATCAACATGAACGTGTGCAAAGCTCTGGAGCCGGGTCCGGGTCCGGGTCCGGGCACTTGTGCCCCTTGATGAGATTTTAATTTTATTTTATTTTATTTTTTTGGGGATTTTGTTTTGCTGCTGAAACTGAGTCGGAATCCGCAACCGAATCACAAACTGAGGGAAGTAAATCACCGCCGCACTTTCAATACCCGGCCGTATCGAGCAGGAACAATGGCAGCAAAAGACATTGGCCGGACTGAGGACTCTGCCGGACAGTGTCGGGGTTGCTTGGCGTTTCGACTACTTTTATATCGAGAGTCACTTTAGATTGCCCCCGGCTGATCCTGATGGACTTATGCTCGAGGCTTACACACACACACACACACACGTACGTGTTTTCGGCAGCTTACACTTGTCCCAGGCAGGCGAAAAAAAAAATGATTGCTCTTCCTGTCGAGTGCTGATTGTTTGGCATATGAGAGATAAATGAGGCATCGGCGTCGTGAGAGATGGATGTGCCGGAGCAGCAGCAACGGCATTGGCGGTGGCATCTTTCGTATTAAATTCATGAAAGTTAAGTGCTTTGTAATTGATGTTATAAAAAATTTATGACAGATGCCAACAGCCGTGGCCCGCCCCATGCCTTGAAGTTACCTGCCGTCGGCCATGGGAATAGCAGCAGGCGAAGATAGCGAAACCTTTGCCCACAATCATCAGACGGATGGGCCAAAATTAACTTTATCTCTAATTGGCATTAATTATTTAAAAGGATTTCGAGCGCTACTTGCTCGACTAAAGTGTTTTTGTGTCCACCACAGAAACTGTCGTCAGGCAAAAAATAATTGACAGAGCTCGACAAAGTTGTACCTGTTGGGCCATTAAATAAAAGAAGACTATGCACTGACACCTACCAGGTGTTTGGCAATAAACTCGAGCAATACAAAATACAAAACAAAAACAAGTCCAAGTTCGTCCGGATAAATCACAGCCATTGAGCTCAGCTGCTGCCGGCGAAATCCAACCCCTGCCGGAGGATGGGGCACTCGTACTTGTACTCGATGTTGCAAGTCGGACTGATAATGATGTCGACTTGTCGATTGGCCTTGGCCTGGCTAGAGACCAGGGTCAACGTCAGGGAATTACATTGCCAGCAAAATGTCAGACTTTGATGCTCTATAGATGATGAATTATATTTGACATCTATGTGCTTTTCGCTCACACTTGAGCCTCTGCTTGTCCAACTATGACACACGCACACCCCTCCTCCATACACATACACACACACACACACACATAAGTACTCCCGCACTCATTTGGCAAGAGTCGTACTTGGATATGTTTATTTTACTGTCAAAACATTAAAGCAAACTCTGAAGCATCCAGCCAGGGTTGATTGTCACCAAGGGGCGGCGGCGACAGCGGCTTACTTTGATAGGTTTCCACTTACGTGAGGGTGGAAACATTGGCGTCACGTGGCGCTCGTCTACCTCGTCTACTTACCCATTCGGGCGGGTGCGAGTGCAGCCTCTGCTTTCGTTTGTGTAGACAAACATATTTGCATATGTTGGCGGCATATTTTAACAAATCCTGCTGGATTTCCTGCTCAACAGACACCAGATACACACACACACACACACACACACACACTCGCATCACACATCGTTGGCTCCGCATGCCTTTTTGACAACTCATAACAATCACTCATCATAAACAAAGCGTCCGGCTTCAAGTTGGCAGCTCGACACAGTGGCAGGACAATGCCATGGCTCGGTTGTAGGGTGTCATACCCTATATAGCTTTAGTTTACATCACACCGAATAAAAAATACACTTAAAGAGATATGGAAATGCGCTTATACAATAGCTTATAGTTATATTCGCCTGACCGCCCTGGGAAAGATCAGTCGAAAAGTAGGTTCGGGTGTGAAAACCCTTTTTTAATAAGGATTACTTGACCACACTCGAGATTTGGGCTGTTTGACCCTCATATATATGCAAAATCTTCACTGCATCGGGCCACTATATATCACATAGGAAACATCGTTCGAGGGTATAAAGAAATCTGCACTGCACAGAGAAGCTTTGATCTATTAAAAAAAACACAAATAATGATTGACTTACCACTAGAAATGAATACTGTTTAGTATGGTGTTTAGCTCTTAGGCCACACAGTTTGGCATCCTTTGGCCAGAATCAATTCCCCTTTGGCAGCATAATGATTTAATCTACTGCTAATTAGTTATCGCCATCGCCTTTGGCTGTCCTCCATTTGTCTGCTTGCACATTCTTGGACGGACCGGCGGACCGGTGGACCCCGAGGCGCTGGGCATCTTGAGGTCAATTAAAACAATCCGCAAAATAATTGCCAAGAAATTTATTCGCTTCATTAACTGGTTAAAGGACGTGGACATGAAAGTTAAGCTAAAAGTCAGCCGCATGAAGTCAGTTGGAAAATTAAGTGAAATAATTAAATCTCAATCGGAATCTATTAGATTGGCGTTGAGGCCCGGCGTTGTTGGGTTGTGGGTTCCGAGTTCACAACCCTTGTCAGTGCTCGTTGCAATTGCCACAAAGCAACCCAGACGGAGAGAGAGAAATAGGGGGGGAAGAGAGAAGTTGAGGCAGCTAGAGCTAGGGTTGAAGATAAATAAATTTGGAAGGCCATCAGCTAATCTCCCAGCGACGTCTCAGCAAGGGGTTAACGAGCTGGCAGCTCTGCTGGGGTTGAAAATTTTAACATTTTCCAAAATGCAACAATCGTCTCGTGGAGCAAAGCGCGGGTGTTGTGGTGGACCGGTGGGAGGGAGGGGGGCGGGGGGTGTGTGCTCCAGCCACAGCCCCTTCTGGCATGGTCATTTATCACCCACGCAGCGCAGCATCTTTCATAATCAGGCCAGGCGGCAGTAGGCAAAATGCAAATGACTCAGCCTGCACGGCACAAAGGACCAGCCGCGGCTTTTAATTTACAACATCCTACGAGCCAGTTGGGCACCCAGCACCAGCATCAGCATCAGCACCAGCACCAGCACATGCATCTGAATCTGTATCTGAATCTGAATATGCGCCCAGCCCATACGAGTCGCTGTCTGAGCAACAGCCGCCATTGCGCGGCAGACGACGAACTGGGCGGACTGTCGGACGGTCGCTGCCTCGGCTATAGTGCTACAGTGCCAGACAAAAGGTCGGCACCGCACATACACGTCCACATTCCGACCGACTTAATTAATTTATGCACTCACTGGCTTGGTCGCAGGGAAATGCAGCGCGGACAACGGCGGCCAGTTTATTCGGGCTTTAGCTGGACATCAATTCTTTGCTCTTCTTGAAAACCCGCCTAATTTCAAAATTAATGAGCGGAATCTTGATGGCCGATGGAAGCGATAAGCCTCATGATTTTGGCTGTCACACACACACACACACTGACAATCGACTAAGTGCGGCGTTGCCGTACCGCTCGGCTCTTTGACCGTGGCCAGAGCCGAAGTAAATCACGTGTTTATTGGCACTTCACTTACGACACCGTCACCAAAGTCCAAAAAAAAAAAAAAAAAAAAAAAAACAAAAACAAAATTAAATAAAATAAAATACAAAAATGGCACCGCTCCGGCTAACAGGCTGGGGGGACTCACTGAGTCTGCGACCTTAGGCCCAAACAGATCGGGGCCCGGGAACCAAACAGGGAAACGTCATTAATTAGCCGGTTTTTTGAAGTGTGGGTAACGGGGATGGCAGTCGACGTGTTTATTTGGTTTCTACTGTCATCATCGTCGTCGTTGTCGTCGTCGTCTTCCTCGTCCAACATCGCATATGTATTGAGAGCCTCATTTACGAGCTCTTTTAGTGTTTGCCTTTAGTCTCTTGCCGCAAAGCACAGACATGGCCAATATAGTTGACAGCAGAAGGTACTAAAGAGTGCTCTAGTTGGAAGAACCCGGGAATGGGCGGAGATCACCAAAAACTCAAATATTCTTAATAAAGGTAAATAATACAAGAGCCTGCATACCAAGTATGATATTTCTAGCTCTTATAATCCTCGAGTTATGCTCAAGAAACCATGTCTCGCAATCTGTGTTTATCGATATTATGAGAATCACGTTCTGGGCTTAATATACGAGAAAATCCATCTTAAAGTTCAAATCTCTAGCTTTCACTTTTACTATCACCGTGGCAAAACGGTGGAACTTTTATTGCCTGCCATCAGTGTAGTCAAGATATTCTTTCATTTATTTTGGTTTGACCGGAAACTTCTTATCTTGTGGCTAATCTTATTGATGTCTCAGACCTGGCGAGGCACAAATGACGATGTGGTTTTAATTCTGACCTTAAGACAAACGTAAATTTACGGAACACACATTTGATTCATTCATTCAGCATTCCATGGGCCCAGGCCAGCCAATGTGTTCGTATAGGTAACATACCAGACAAACAGTCTGCCGCATGCTGCACACTTGGCTGAACTGCAAACACACCCCGTTTATGCTCTTGCAGAGGGTATCATAATTTCATTGGGAACTGCAACTCTTGAGGTGCATGAGCATAAAGCTAAATGGTTTATATTCTTGATCTTTACTTTACTTTACTTTTTATTTCGATTGTCAATCCTAACTTTTAAAATTGCCAGAAAATTTCGAATAACTATACTGTCGGGCATCCAATTTAGGCTTTATCTGAAATGTATTATCGTATTAAGAGATTTAGATGCCTTTAAAACTAATTTATAATTTCTATTACTATATTTGCAGTTCGTTACCTTGCTGGACTAACTTTTGGCACTTCTCAGCTGGTTTGCATAAAAAATATTTTTATCAATAATCTATTGCGCAGCTTAACTAACTTTTCTGTTTTCCATTTTCAGATTGAACTGGAAATGTCTTGAGAAACCAGAACTACAAATAATTGGCAACCATTAAACATAAACCAGCTCTATTTAAATGGCAAAACTCTTTAGGAACCTTTAAAAAGTATAGAAGTTTATAACGTATACATATACCCGAAGTAATAGTAGTATTATTTACATAGAGACTTTTGTATAATTGTAGTTTATTGACAATAACAAGAATAAAATATTATTTGTAAGTAATTGTTAATGAGAATAGAAAACAGCGTAATTAAGTTTAGTAATACACAACGAAGCCCAAATCAAGTATGAATCAATATGCTCGATGAAAATGAAAGAATAACTGAAATAATAAGTATACAATTTGTTCTTCTATTTATAAGATATAACTATTTAACATATATTGAAGGAATCAATATAAACGAAGAATATTCAGTCAGCTCTAAAAATCAAAAATGATTTACTTAACTTTGTTAAGACTTGATACCTTCTTTGAAATTTGATGCATATTTAAAAGAAAACGAATATATTACTACTTATTTACATATAAATGCAATCCAGAGCATAAAACACGATCCATAACTAGCAATATAATTGAAATAAGCTTGAAAAGTTATGGATATTGAAAGATTGTGAATGTCCTTAACTCTGGATATATTTATATGAGAAGCAGGTTATAAAAGTGTCGTGCAATCCACATTCGAGTCTTCTTTCCTAACAATCAATATACGAAACATAAACACGTTGATTCGTCCTTCATTCAGCGTTTAGCAGTGCTTCGATAATAAAGAGATTGAAATTAGCAAGCAATTCGGAATGTAGATTCTCAAATACCATACGAAAATCCAATTGATTTTTATTTATATATGATAGAATTATGACTTCCCCTAAATAATTATCGTTTCATGGTTCTAAGCGTACTACGTAGCAACTAGATTACAATGTCTCTGCATTTTATAATTTCAGTTTTTAGAGTAGCTTAATTATGTGATATACCTATATTTTCTATGCATCTTTATTTAGTTTGGAAAGGGTACAGAAAAGTGTCTCCAAAAAACCATTAACTCTAATGCGAAGCCAAGTGAAGCCGCCCACGCATTCTTGTCTGCTTAAAATTACTCTTAAACCTGATTTTTGAATCGGTAATCGTTAAGGATTGAATTTCAAGATACTTTTTTCAAAGTGAGTTCATAGTAAAAATGAATAACTTAAAAAGAAAGAAAACACATAATTTTATAAGCAAAACTGATGTATAAATCGTCATCATCATCATATAGGATTGGGATTCAAAATAAGTTCAGCTTTAATATGAATTTTAAGATTTGGATATCAAGGCATATTGCCTTTGATTGCCAACCCTTATGCAATACAAATATGCTTGTAATAAGGGTTTGTCCCAGTTGTCCGAGCTGTCCAAAACATGTTAACAGTTCTAATCGATGTAAAGTTGTTAATCTATATCAAATAATAACATATCCGATGTGCCCCAACAAATAGTTAAGTAACGCAGCGAAATCAAATATGTCGAACAGCCTAAAAGTATGCAACATTTCGAGATATTCAAAAATTGTGGCATACTTTTAAAATGGTCCAATTGGGTCGAACGAAGATCAAAATCTAGCTGGAAAAATGAGACTTTACTTATACTTTTGCAGAGCCTATTTAAATGTATGCTAAAAAGTTAAAGATATATCATAGATGTATGATATGAAGTATCAGTCAAAAATGCATGATATCCTGTCTGAATTTGTATATCTTACATAACTTAGGCTAACTCAAAAAGTATGATCCATAAGCTTTTTATAATAGGTACTGCTGCAAGGATCTTTAAAGGGTATTCCTATTATCGAACATATGTCTCATGAAGTTTTAAAAGATTACCAAAAATAGGCACAGCGATCTTTATAATAATTATATTTTTACAAATATATTGAACTTATCGTTAAGTATTTTTTTCAAAAGATTTACAAACATAAGCATAACTAACTAACTTTATATTGTTAATAATTAAGACATTGTTTATAGAGACACCAAGTGCTATTCGAAAGGTTGAAATCAGAACGAGAGGTCAGCAATTGGCATTGACAGTTAAATCAAACCCACCCTGTTCGTTAATTGTCTAACGGAATTAATAGAGTATTGTTGTTTCTCTGCTGCCTGGATGTGGGTAATATCGGTCACATCCCCATCTGCCATGCTCAGAGATCTATATATTATGGCAGTTGCCAAATGGAGCATCACATAAATCATGCCAAACTGTTTTGGGCATAGGAGAGTCAAACAGAATACGATCACTTAAAAGTATTCAGGCATTTATTTATGTCAAAACAAGCTACATTAAGCCGCTGGCAACCCTCGACCAGGACCAGAACGAGGACCAGGTACTAACAACAACATCCAAGGGTCATTCGTATAACTCAATTAAAGACGATTCTGCCCTCACGCACACCGTCGCAGCGGGGTGTCGGCGCATTAGCCACTTTTCTACATCTTCGTCTGCTGATTTCAGCAGTTGCTCAATGGAGGACACTAGACTGGTCAGCCAGACAACAACAACAACAACAGCAACAAGGGGTACAACAATACTGCTGCGACGATCGGGGTCGTTGTGGTTTGAGTCGGATTTGCAGTCACTGAATAGACGCCACAAATATCAACAAATGAAACTTGAACTGAGCATTTTGTAGAATGAATGCGTCCCTCTCCTTACCAACATGCCATTGCTCATTGTTGCCCTGGTCTGGCCTGCCTGGAGTACAGCTGCCGCTGTGTGGCCCAGCCCGGCCCGGCCCGGCTCGTATCGGCCCGCCTGCTCAATTGAATCCAATGCTGGCCACGACCGACCTCCAAAGGGCAAGCGCAGAAAACATGATTTTTGTGTAACGAGAACATTGTTCTCGCAGTCTTCAGGCTGGGCCACACTGCAATTGCTTCGTTGGCGATCGCCATGCTCGGTGGGCTCCAGCGGGTGTGCAGTGTCCGGGTGTGCCAGGAAATACACGATTGTTACAGCCGGATCGTGCAAAAATACAGCGACGGTCTGACAGGTGGCGCCGGCGCCAATTTAAATATGAGTACAGCGAATGATTATCTTGCGGATGTTCAAAAATCCACCTCAATGTTGTTAAGAGCTTGCGAAAAAATTCAAAACAATCTAAGCTGAAACAATGGAAATAGCTCTAATAATGTGATTTGGTGCAAATATATATTCAAATCTATCTTCTAAGTCAATATCCTTTGTCTCAATTGAAACAATGAAGATAGCTCTATTTCCTTTGTATTCCTTGCTTCTTAACCAACAACTTTAGCATAAATTGAATCAAGACAAATAGCTCCAATAACAAGACGGTTTTATATATTAATTAGCAATATTTTAAACACTTTCTTCTAATAGAATATCCTCTATCCAATATCTTCTATCTAAATTCAAACTGTGGAAATATCTCTAATATTATTACTGTCTTAGTAACCCTCTCTTGTAATCCGATATCTACAATCTCAATTGATACAATGGAAATGTCTATATAACTATAGAAATAGCTGATTGTTATCCTCCCTGACTCAACTCAACTTATAGGTTCTATCTTAAATGAAATAATGGAAGTAGCTCTAATAACATAAAAAACATTGTCAATATTTGTTATCAACCCTATCTAAATTAATATCTTCTAGTTTCTACTTGATATTGATCGCAAATAATTTTCAAGAATATATTTAATATTAAAATTAATATTTTTGAATCTTGCTCGGCTCTAGTTCGAAATATTTTATTGAAAAAATGAATTGTATTTCATATTATTTTTTAACAATATTAACAATTTGGTCTATTAAGTTATTTCCGTCTGTCTGTCCAATCAGATACATATATGCGAAAGTATCTCAAACATATTTCGTCTACCTCCCGTTTTGAGAACCTCTTTTATCTATAGTTTCGTAATATTCTTATTATTGATATATGTTTTATATTTTGTGTGCAATTTGTGATTTGTACCGCTATGTTTAGTCTGAAGTACTAGAAGTAAATACTGTGTTAGTACACGATAATATAAGTACTTAAATTAACGATATTTACAGGGTATACAGAAATTCCAGGATATTTGCTAATAGCAAATTGTAACTAATTTTGCTAAAAATACAAATACAGGCGCCACTCTTATTTGACCCTACCAATACCCTAGATATAATATACATAAATTTCTTAATGGAATAAGCTGACTATTGTAATTGCAGCTAAGAACTAACGTAATTTCTTTAATCTTCTTTGCTTAGTCTATCGAATTATTGAGCTCGCGTAGATAAACGAACATCAGTTATAAAAGTGGCTATATTAAATGGCTTCGTTTCGGATCAGGAATATATACATGGCCTTCGGAGTACACGATATAAATATGTAATCTGCAACACGTGATGTAATTTATGTGCCCCAAGCAACTTGGTTGCAACCCTCGAGAATCAATGCCAAAAGCCCGAAATGTTTCACGAAATTCAATTAAGGGTAGAGGGAAATGTTAAGATAAGCCCTTCCAGAAATGCAGAACGTGGCGACCATTGTCGTTAAATGTTGAAGAGCCAAAAGGCAAACACGTGTAGGTGTTTGAGCTTTAATTTTACATAACAATGTGTATCTGATAATTATCAAGTAATTAACAAGCAAGGCCCCAAACATCGATTACGCTCCTTATTTCTGTTCATTAAGAAGAATTTCATATATAACAGTAACAGTTATACCCTGCAGCCATTAAATGGCTAGAGTATGTATAACGTACATGTGCACATGTCTACATGTGTGTATGTATGTATGTATGTATGTATGTGAGAAGCAGCCATTATTGTAATCTGCCTATGCTTTGTTATTCTGCCCTCACTCTCCATCATTCTCTCCACATACAAGACGCTCCACTCTCATCACTTTTTGCCGAAAAATTGCATTTTGCTTTGCGCCATCGACTCAGTTCTCTCCAATGTTGCTTTGCTTTGTCGCTTAACAAAATTCAACGCACAGTGGATCCAGCCATATTTTATTTTAGTTATCTGTTAAGATTGAAAAAAAAATATTACTAAATTACTCGTTTTAATACAGCTACATGTATATTGATGTCATGTTGTTAAATGTGCTCGTAATGATGTTATATATGTATGTATATACACACATTGTATGTATTTATTTCATGCTATTATTAAAACCAATTGCGTGCAATTTCACTCCAGTGTGCAATGCAAAACTAAGAAACTGGCGCACGCATAACTGTAATCACCAAGTGTCCTTTTGCCTATTCGATTTATGTCGTCGCGAGAGCAGCTTAAAAATGCCGCAATTTAATCATTTTAGTTCTAAATGACGCGTCTCGACGTTGGCCACGCGTTGCAAAGTGATCTTGTGGGTGTTTTTTTTTTTTCATATTTTTTTTTGTGAGAGTTTTGCTTTTTTAATATACACATGTATGTATGTATGCATGTATGGCTTGCAAGAAAAGTGTGGTCCCATATGCCAATTGTGTTTAAATTGTTTTAAGTGCGCTGCTTTTAAGAAACTAAATCATTTTTGTGTAAGGTAAGTTTTTGAATATGTACATACATACATATATACATATATATGTATATACCAAGGCTGATGCACTGCCAGTTTTAAAATGGCACAAAGAAAGTTCTAGCAAAGACAATACATATGTATGTACATATAATATGATACATAAATATTGCATTGTCTTTGATACAAGTGGTTTTTTGTTTCAAGACAATAAATGTTTCCTTATGCAAATTTTCGATTCTCTTTTGCGCACTTCCGTGCGTACCAATGCATTTTGTACTTGTTGTAAGAAGCACGGAAAGAAGAGGTGGGAAAAAGACGCGTCGGTGGCGTATTTATGTACACATACATATATATACATGCATATGTATGAAAGTGCGCTTAACTGTGCTTTAAATTTCTGTTTGCATCTATGCATGTGTATGTGTGTTAGCTTATGTATGCGGTGCTTCTTCTTCGATCGATCCGCCGCTCTCCGCCAAAACGAAAGTAATCGTATTTTAAGAGGTATATTATTTTTCTGTTACATGTGTATGTATGTAAGGGTAACTGTTTGCATGCATGCATGTGAGCATATGTATGTATGTATATTTTAATCGGCATTCAGGCATTGCTTCTTTTTTTTGTTGTTACATGAACATTTTTCATCGATATACATTATTATTGGTCATGCAGGGTATTTCTTAGGCGGACATTCTCTCTACTTCTCTTCTCTCTCTCTCTCTAATCTCTTATCTATTTTATTAGGTACAGAGTAGGCATTAAAAGAAAAACATAAGATCAGCGCGTCGTGCGTAACTGTGACCCAAATTTGACTGGCCGATGAATGAAGAAGGTTTTGTCAAAAGTGTCCCCTCGGCGAGCGACGCAATCGGATCTAGGCGACACTGGCGCCAGGCATTGGTCCAGTCGCATTCCCATCAATGCAGCGAGTCCTTTTTTTATCTACGACTCACTATTTCAGACGCGACACTTGTGAATGGACAACGTGCAGGACAATAGCGCCGCTGTGGGTCGGCTGGCCGGAATGGCCGGGATGGCACCGTCGCCAACTGGGCAGATCTTATTTTAATTGCACGTCAGATCGATCACACGCAGTGTCAGCCGGGTCAGTCGAGTGTCCAGTGTGTGTGTGTGTGCGAGTAGTTGCGTATCGCTTACGGCGAGTAATGATCATAATGTTGTACAAGTATCTTTAAGATGCATACGATATATTGAAATAAACTACCTGCTGCCTACCTGCCAGCGTCTGACTGACTGCGGGCCTAGTTAATCTGTCCCGCTTTCGATAACATTTTAGTGCTCAATTTTTAACTCTACGCCCTTTTGTGGTTTTGCTCTTTACAACTGTTTATGCCTTTTATGATTCGGTCGCGGCCGTTTGCATTGTCTTGGCCAGGCCAAGACCCGGCCCCGGCCCCGGCCCCGACTCAGATCTTGAGCCCAGCGAATGTTGAATGTATGCATGTGTGTGAGCCCATTGACTTTGTCCTGCCGACATTTCTGTGGCACTTGGCTGCCTCAATCAGCACACGAGTGCCTTCATCGTTGCCCACTTGTCAATCCGAAAGTCGTTCGGACTGTAATTTAATATCCTGGCCGGTCACCTTGTGTATTCATATTGGTTTAATTTTATCAAAAAAATAAACCAGCTGAAACAACTTGCATATCGGGCAAATGCTGCTTCGATGTGTTTCACACTCTGCCCCTGGCCCATGTTGCCCCATGTCTATGCCCGCCGTTTAGATACTTACATGGCTCCGGTGCGTGCCCAGGGGCCATTAGGGTTTTGTGGTCACTCTGGTCTCTGGTCTCTGGTCTCTCTGTTGGTTTTTGGTTTCCTGAATGTCCGATTGCCTTCGCATTGGCCGCTCATTTAAATATTTTATCATTGATGCGCCGAGGAGACACTAAAGAGAATTTTATATCTTTTCAGTTCGCTACGTTTTTATCACTCGAATGAACAAAAACATTTGTTACCAATCAGAGTTCTTAATTTTACGGCCTGTGTTTGCGACAAAAGTGCCGCTGCGACAAAAGTCGTATCCAACCCAGGCACAGCCCCAGCCCCAACCCCAGTCCCTTTGGAGGGGATCTTTTGTCGGCTTTGTCGCAGAAATTAGTCGTGTATTCCTTTAAAGCTTGTATGTATTCAGTGCCAGTATCTTAATTGGCTTTGATGCTGCGATGGCCTTTCATAAATTTCAATCCATTCACAGAAGAGTGTGTGCGTGTGTGTGTGTGTGAGTATCTGTGTGTTGTATTTCATTTTACCTCTCACACACACACACACACACATGCCAGGTTGTTTACATTAGCTGGTAAAAGCCTTAATGAGTATTTCGTCTGAAAATAAATGACATGAACTGCATTGAAATGAATTGTTGAAATAAAATCTTAATATGTATACATCATTTTATGATCGTGATGACATCAGACGATAGCTTGAGTAGGCATCATTTTTTATAGGGATAAATCAAATCTTTTAAAAGTGTTCATTCTTTATAATCAGGTTTTAAACATATGACTATTGTTTATTACACTTTGTTCGGCAACTTTATAGACTCGATAATTAAAAGTAAACCAAGGAAACGCTGTTAGCACAGACTGCCAAATACTCTTTTCGTAGCAGCTCAAAAAGTTTGCTGTCATTTACTTGACATTCCTTTTAAATCTTAAAGAGCTTTATCTGTAATCCAAGTATAAAGATTTTCTACGATTTGAATTCTTTAAGATTTCTTTAATCTGCGCCATATTGTTTAATATTCCTATGCAATTCTCATTAATCTGACGTTTATGGATATATATTGCAAATAGAAAGTAAATAAATATAATATTAATTTCGCTTTTTCTTTGCTTCATTTTCATTTTATTTCGCTTTCTTTCTCCTGCGCATATTCTAATCCCATCTCTGTTTCTTCCATATTTTTAGTGAAGTGCGATATATATATATAAAGTCTGATAATCGTGAGTGCATAAGTGAATTTTAGGTAAGTACACACATATATTTATATACAAATAATTATATATATTAAATCAGCTTAAGCCAGAACAGGGTTTACCTCCTTGCAGTAGCATAACATCATATAAACTAGATTATTTATTTCTAACCCTTACAAAGTTCATATATATTGATGTTGAACGAATAGCTGATTGCGCTGATTTATTTGACATTCGCATCAGATCCAAAGCATGACTACATGCTCTTAAGTCTTGGAATTAAGATTGATTTGGGTTCTACTTTTACTTGCTTTTAAGTAGCGAAGTCTTGTTTTATCCGCTGTCAGTGTCGAGCAATATGACATATGAATATTCATCATTAAACATTCTGATTCATTTCAGATTAAACTAGACTTCCTATCAAATTTGGAATAACTTCCGTTTGATTGCAGCTTTTGACTCAACCAATTGGTATTCCGTTCCAAGAACTTTATATGCATATACTTAAAGATAATTAATAACTCATTCGATACTGCTCCGATCGCCTTTTTAAAGACAATGTCTTTGCAAATAACTGACAAATTGCGCCCTATTAATATTCTCCGTTGGACCCAACAAATGTCAACTACTCATGCCAAATGTCATGGCAAAATGTGAGCAACAAACTGGAGCAGTTGCTGCTTATTTTTGAAAAATATGTTAACTAGCGGAAGAAGCGATCCCAAAGCGATCAAATTTATGCAGTTGTCCGAGCGGGGTGCACGGCATAATTTATGTGTGCCGCGTAGAGTCCAGAGATAGAGTCGAGCTAAGTGCAGGCATCTATCTATATACGAAACGACATGGTCGTAATGCTAAACGAGTGTTATCCAGGGTTGGAGTAACAACTGGATGAGGGGCTGCGCGGGCGAGGGCGAGAACGAGAGCGAGTGCGAGGGCAAACGAGTACCGCAATAATGAAACCGAGCATATTGGGAAAATTTCACGGCTATTTGGCCGCTGGCCAAACAACTGGTCACCGGCCACTGGTCAGGGTCTAATTTATAGAGCGATTCGGTGGGTGTTTGTTTATTTATTCACGAGTACTGTGAGATTCAATTTATGCAGGCTGCGGGGCAGGCCGGAGCAGGGTAGGGTTCGGCAAGGGCTGGCAGGTAAATTGAAAAATGGACATTTGTTGTTACAGATCCATTGACTCATTTACGAATGTCAGTAACAACATTTGTGCCCGCTTCGCCGTGCGTATCTCTCTCTCCATATATATAAATATATATATATATACATATTCTTTTGGACAGACCCAGCCCCAGTCACAGCCCCGCGGGGAACGCGCTGCCTGCCAAGTGGTGGGTCGGCTTTGGCTTTTCGGCTTAGATAAGCCGGCTGTTGGCTCTGCTTCTGCTACTGCTGCTGTCGCTGCTATCGTATCTTGACTGTAACAGACGGCGCTCGGTCTGAGGATGAGGCTGGCTTCGGGGGTTGTTCGGCGGCTGCTGGTTTGACATGCAGATGTGACGAGCGCGGATTTGTTTCGTGTTGTATCTTCGCTTAATTTTTTTTTGCTGTGTTCGCTTTTGACAAGGACAACTTGATTTTTTGTTTGAGCGATGCGCTTTTTGGGGCGTAATGGAAATCCCTTTTTAAAGCTTGACGCGCCTCGCGCACCCAGGCGACAAAACAAAAGTGTTCGCGAGTGCATTTGACACTTTGTACTTGATGGATTATGCTTAATTATTGATTAAATGGGCTTGTACTTGTCAACCCAAATGCAAAATCCATTACGTATTTTGAATATCGCCAAACGCCGACTCGAGCCGAGCCGAGATGAGCCGAGCGACAAAATTAGATTTAAATTTTTTCGGAATTTATAATTTGACATTCGCTGGGCGCGCACTTGATGGATGCAAGCGTCAATGCCAGAGGCGGAGTCGGGGGCAGGGGCAGACGAAGGGGCCCGGGCACAGCTCGAAGACAAAGGCAGCAGCAGCAGCAGAGGTTGAGAATTTACGTCAATGTCAATACATTTTGATATCGATGCGAAGCGCCTTTTTCCAAACATTCTACTTGCCTTTTTTTACATACTAACGTGTGTGTGTGTTGTGGCCAGAACCTGTGGCCGGATCGTGGCTATGGTCACGCACTGCGACTGCGACTGAGACGACGACTGCGACTGCGACTGAAACTGAGAGCCGGCCATGTCGATTAAAGCGATAACGCGGAGCCTTTAAGAGATGCCGCGTCGTTATTTTTCGGTTGTCGCTTCATCTGCTCTGATTAATTCTCTGTGATGAATGCCGCAGCCACTTGCTACGCTGCCTCCAAGCAAGAGGAAGCAGCAGCGTAGAAGCAGCTTTGATTTATCGACATTCCGATGACCGTGCCGTCGACGCCATTTTGGCACCATGGACATTGGCTGCGTCGAATCTCCGCTGGCTTTTGTAGGTGCAACAGCTACGGCTGCAGCACAGCTTTTCCGAGCCAAAGCTTTAGGTGTGCGCACCCGTGCGGCATCCGATGGAAAGCTTTGCGAAAGTGCACAAGCCAACGTTGGATAGTGCTCAAAGCGAAAGCTGAACTTCGAATGTTAAGGTTGCAGGCTTGTTGGGAAATTTGTGGCTAAAGGAAAAAACTAGATTTTCCCACTCTATTTTCCATTTAAAATCCTCTTACTTGTTGTAAATTTCCCACTATTTCCCCTATGCTCGGCTCTCTGTCGCTGCGGCAAGCGCCGCCCGTTAAAAAATGGCTGCGCATTTATCTGCAGCACTCGCGGGCTTGGTGTGAAGCGTGCAGCTATTGTGACGTAAGCCTCATGCTCACATGCTATCTCGCTCTCTCTCGCGCGCTCTGTCGCACATTTCCCCTCCAGCTTCGTGTGTGTTGCTTTCCCTTTGCTTTTTCTTGTTCTTGTTCTTTTTCTTTTTCTTTTGGCCACAATAATAAGCAATACAAAACTTTAATCGACGTTTTACAATTCTAATGTGCGCCGTGCATAATCCCAGCCCTCGCACAAGTATTTAAATCAATGTATAACAAAGAAATGCACACAAATCCCATTGTTGACGCACAAATTGACGAAAAAATAAACACTCGAAATGTACATTTAATACATTTATATTTACATCTGTATTTACTTTCTTTCATATGCATGCATGTCTACCTTAACTAAAACTGAACTCGATTGCATACAGAAATTTTAAAACATTGTACTAGCAAGTATATTTCATACCTGGCTTGATTACTATTTAACTTTTTTGTTGGTTTTTAACTAGAAATAGCCTAAGATAAACATGACTAAAATGATTACGTATTGTTTTACTATCATTAATAAAATTAGGACTTATGCTACTTTGCTTTTGTACGTCAATAAATTAGACTTTAAGTTAGAATGAAATAATTAAAAATGCAGATTCTTAACATTTTGTTAGGCAACATTTTATGTTTTACTATCGATTAGTTAAATAAACGGCGAGCAAGACCGATCTCTAGTTTACAGCCTGCAGAGAATAGATAAGTTTTGCTTGACATCATCTGTAAAAAACCTGCTTAAGAGATATCAAAAAATTTATATTATTATTATATTTTTATAAATTTTAGCATGTGCCAGAATGCGCTTAGAATCTCACTTTATCTGCACCTGACCGAAGGATTGAATTATTTCATAAATACACTTTATATAATAGTTTATCACGGAGAAAAACATCCTAATAATTTTCCATTCCACTAAAATTAAAATATGCATACTCTTCTAGGGGTCCAAGCTCTACTTAATATATACACAAATTCGCTATAAAAGATACATAACCTAGATGGCATAGCTTGAAGAGTATTTGAATTTGTATATGCCTTGAACTAATATTTATTTTAAAAGCATCCCAAGTCTATAAATATCTGTTTAATAATTGGTGTTATTTTATTGTGTATTTTATGATTTTGTGTACGCATGCAGAATGTAGAAAATATGAAAATGTTTTTCATTTTGGTTTATATTTTAGTACATCGAAAAACTATGAGAAAATGTGATAAAAATGCATGCGTTTGAAATACTTTTCATATAAACAAGCTCTGCTTGAATATTTCTCAAGGCTTATTATGATTTATAATTTAACTTAAGCAAATCCGCATTTGTTGATTGACATACGCAATTATTTGATTTGTCATGGCTGGAAAAGTCTCTTGGCTTACTCAGGGTGGTGCCAGATGCTATTGAAGGAAGTGTTTTGATGAAAACATAATCTTCAGATTACCTGACACAGCCAACAGCTTGACAGACCCCTGGCAAATGTGCTATATGCCTGAGCACTGAGCTTGTCAGAAAATGATGCAAAAGACAATGGGGGGTGACCTTTACGTTTAATATGAGTGTGTAAATAGTTTTCAGCCTAATTAGGCTTTAGACCACAAGCCGCAACATAATAACCGAAGGCCCAAACCGAAAAAGCCCAGTCGCTAATTTCATGTCTGGGCGTAAAAACAATGTTGGATCATAACTATGAGCTCCGGCACAACAAAGCTCCGGCCAACCGCTGCCGGGCAACGGTACGAATGTCCCGAAAGACAACTCACATACCTTTTGGCCTATCCAACACCCAGACACTGTCCTAAGCCCGTTCTGAAGCCGGGCAACACTATCTAAAGTTTTAAATTTCGGACATTTGTTCGTCACGGCCCGGTTAAATGATGCGCAGGCGACAAAGCGACAGGGCAGGGTTGAAGTTGAATGGCTCGACCTGAGCATGGACGGGCAAAGGTATACACATGTATAAATACATATATATATATATGTCTATGTGTGCGTGTGTGTGTGTGTGTGTGTGTGCAGCGACTGCCAGACCCGAGAGACTGACTGACGTGTGTGAATGTGCAGGCCTAAGACAGCGAGAACATCAGCCAGCGAGGACATCAGGACATCAGGCTCAATGTTGACAAGGCGGAGTGAGTCCTTGTAGTTAGCTGAATGTAGTTTGTTTGACATCTATTTAAAAGTTTAATCGGATGAGTGTAGTCTGCGTGGTTAGGCTGACCAAAACACAGTGTTTTACATACTCATTGACTTTCGGGCATCGGCACCAAAGCGACAGGTGTGCACCGAGTTGAGAGCCATGAACCCGCTGAAGCCTGAAGCTGGCGCTGGCGCTGGCGTTGGTGCTGGAGCTGGAGCTGTCAGCGAACACATGCTTTCAACACATTTTCGGTTGGCCTAACAAGGTGCCACCCACTTCTGGTGGCACGATAAGCAGCTAAGAGATGGCGGGTTTAGTGGTCAGCCTGTCGCCAGCACCACTTGAGCCAGCCGATCGGCATTCGAACGGATGATAGCTGCGATGATAGCCCAATAATGTAAATATGAAATCAATATGGTTATATGCTTATGGTCTAGTTGTAGTTGATAGAAGAACTGGAGCACAGTTGTCTCTGTCGCTGGCTTATCTGTCGCAGCTGGTAAGTAATTGTCGGCAAATGTTTGTGTTTGTGTTTGCACTTTGCCGCTATCTGGAGGCGGAAACTTGAAATGCATGAGTTCGACACTTTGTCCGAGTATCGGACAACCACAATGCTGGTTATTCAAATGTTATCAATGACAACAATAGCCCGTGCCACTACGGCCACTACGCCACGGCAAATGCGAAACTTTTAATTAAATGCCTAATAGATGTTTGTCACTCTTGTGCGCCGATTAAAAGCTTCCAGTTCGATTTCATTCCGTCTCGTGATCTTTCGTGTCATGTCTATATGGTCAGCAATTAATTTTCACCTGACGACGACTTCGATTGCCTTGCCATACACACACACACACACACACACACACACACACACACTTACGCACAGCCCATGTGGTATCAGCACAAGTTCACATTGTTCACATTTGAATCAATTCCTGTGCAACTGCCTTCGCTTTGCATGAAAACTTTCTGCACTTTGAACCACCCCGCAACGAACCGCCACTTTGTTTGATTTGCCGACAAACGATAAGCTGGCGCCCAGCTAGCGTTAAGTCGCCCTAAATATATCTTATGTTGGCTTTAATATGTTATTGGATGGGTTGAAAAGTTGACAATGTGCAGGTAAATTTAATTTCCTCTACCCCGACTGCTTTGATATAGCTTTAATTTAATTAATTTAATAAAATAGAACCAATAGCTAGACAACATCTACCAATTAGCGCTCTGAAATATCCAAAACATTGCATGGCCTTATAATTTAAGCATATCTACTATATATACTTGCTCACAGCTCAATCGGAAGTTTGGGTTCTTGATTTGATATTTATACTTATTGGAGTAGCTCAATGGTGATTCAAACAAAGTTCAATTGGCTTCCGTTAAAACAAAATAATATAAATGATTAGCTCGATATAGATAATATTTAGATAAAACATTTTTTATCTCGCTTAAGTAAGATTTTATTGTATTTGAGCAGGAAATGCTAAAGTACAAGGAAAATGATAGCTGTGCTAAGCTTTCAATAATAATCTAAGGTTCAATAATAATCTGAATTATCTGCATAACTAAAGCCAATTAAATGATAAACAATTTATTGCTCGCGGTTTCTTGTAATATTGTTTTTATTATTATTCTAATTCTTATTTATATTATAATTATTATTATTAATAATATTAATATTATTATTATAATTATTATTATTATTATTATTATTATTATTATTATTATTTATATTGTTTTTATTATTATTATTACTATTTACATTATTAATAATATTATACATTCACATAAGAGCCTGGTATTCGAAAGGGTTTTCATTGGCTTTCTACCAAGAAAACTTCTCAACAGTGAAAGTTAATAAAAACGTATTGTAATACTTATTCTGCACTTAATGCCTATGCGAGTACTCGAAGAAAGGGGCCAATATATCATAATTGCTGACTCTGTAAAGCCGAATATATATATATATATATATATGTATGTGTGTGTGTGCGCATATTCTTGGGCCCTGCCATTGTAAGTCTTACTTTGTATTTATCACCTTTGGTGTTTTGCCAAGCAAAGCGCCGCAGCTGAGCGCAACAACTTTGCTGTCAATACGTATTTTGTGCTTGTGTACACACATATGCATACATATATATATATATAAATGTATGTATATATATATATATAGATGATGCACTTTCGTACTCAATGGCCGTTGGCTTGGTCAATTAACTGTGCTGACAATGACGCCCAGAGGCTTGTCGCTTGTCAGCAAGAGTGCTGTTCAGGGGCTGGCGAGGGGAGTGGCCATATTAAAAGCGCAAAGCTGTGAATTCATTCAGAAAGAAAAGGCCTGCACTTTTCTTATTTCTTTTATTATACACTTAACCCATTGAAAATGGGTGAAATGGGTATGAGGTTTTTCTTGCAAGTGTATGTAACTGGTAGTAGGAA